AAGAATACAGTCTGTCACAGTGTGGAGGTCATGTGATGAGATCTTGAAGCAGCTGGTCTTATCACATTGCAACGGAGAACACAGAGCACTGAATGCTCAGCTCACTTTCTCTACTTTGTTCAGTTTGGGATCCCTTGCCCAAAGAATGGTCCTGCCCACAGTCAAGGCAGGCTTTCCCAAACCATTCACTGCAATCAAAGACAATCCCCCAGGCATGCCTAGAGGCCCGTCTCTCAGGTGATCCTAGATTCTTTCAAGTTGATAAACAACTATCACATCGTCTAAGAGAAGGGAAACTACCTCTCTATTTATCTACCATTCCATCCATCCACCCATTTATCCAATCATGCATGCATCCATTCATCCATCCACCTATCATCTACCTATCCATCCATACAGTGTGGTCTGGATATCCTCCAAAGCCTCATGGTTGAAGGCTTGGTCTCCAATATGCTCTCAAAGGTAAGGCTTTGGAGAAGTAATGGTAGGGTGCTGACCAAGTCAACGGATCCATCCACACTTATATGAACAAATGGGAGGTAGTGAAAACTGTGGGCGGTAGGACCTGATTGGAGGAAACAGGACCATGTCATTGAAGGGTGTATTTTGGCTTCTTTGGCTACCATTCTTTCTCCTGTCTGCCATGAGGTGTGCAGCTTTCCTTCATCATGGTCTCTGCCATGTTCTGCCTCCAGAAACAATGACCCAGCTGATCATGACTGAAACATGCCATAAAAGAAGTCCAAGCATCCTGTCACAGCGACGAAAACTGCCTAATTATCTACCTATCTGTTTCTCCATTATCTACCTACCCACCTACCTTCCACCTATCTATCTATCTATCTATCTATCTATCTATCTATCTATCTATGTATCTATCTACCTACTTGCCTATTATCTATCTATCTACCTATCATCTGTCTATCTCGCTACCAACCTATCCACATGTCTTTCTTTTCTAGGGATGGAGAACACAATTGTGCAAGCATCATGAGGTATTTTTTAAGTGTTCACTGTCATTGCTCAGATTTTTAAAAAAAGTCACCAATAGAACAATATTCTTCTCCACTCCCTTAAACTTTCTCAAGGTTACCAAGAATCTTAACAATTTTTTTCTCTAAAATATCAAAACATCACCACAGACAGGCAGACTGAGACATTCTTTGTGTGTCTGTGTGTTTCTCAAAATTCCATTTAAAACAGTCATCAGATTAAATAGAAACAGGCAAAGTGCATTAGCAGAACTATTTCCTACAAAGCTGTGTCAACAGCAATTGCTTTTTTAAACAAATGTCTCTGGAAGTTGGGTCTAACCTTGTCCCTGAGTAAAGTTGGCTACCACTGCCCCTACTCTGGGTGTTTGCGGGTGTGAGGAGAGGAACTCAGTAGCATACAGAGGGTCTGAAATCATGCAAGGTGCTTCTACACTCCCATCAAACTTTAGAGCATGCAAAAAGTTCAAGGAATGTACCCTAATGTCACAAACTTTTCCCTAGACTGCAAACTTTAGCATCCTCTCCAGAGGCCTGGCTATTCTGTGTTTTGTTTTTGTTGAGACAGGGTTTCTCTGTGTAACAGCCCTGGATGTCCTGGATCTTGATCTTTAGACCAGGCTGACTTTGAACTCAGAGATTCACCTGCCTCTGCCTCCTGAGTGCTGGGATTAAAGGCATGCACTACCACTGTCTGGTTAGGCCTAACTATTCTGTTCTATCTCAGATCCAGGGATCCAAGTGTGAGTCAGGTCCACCTGAGATAGCAACAGGAGGATGTGCAGAGCTAGCCTGCAGACATTCCACTATCTGCTTGCCTCCCTCCCTCCCTCCCTCCCTCCCTCCCTCCCTCCCTCCCTCCCTCCCTCCCTCCCTCCTTTCCTCCCTTCCCCCTTGTGTTTGTCTGTCTGTGACCCCCATCTGTTATGGGATATTTGTCCACTGTGTGAAGATACACTACTGTGATGGGTTTAATAAAGAGCTCAGTGTTCAACAGGAGGTATAGGTGGGACTTCTGGGCAGAGAGAGAGGAAGTAGGAGAGGAATTGAGGTGTGTGAGACATCATCAATAGGTGGAACAAGTCAGATGCACAAAATTGGAGAGGGGTAAAATCCAGGTGATAGAATACCGATTAATAAAAATATGGGTTAACTTAAGTTACAAGAGCTAGTGAGACAAGTCTAAGCTAAGGCTGAGCTTTCATAATTAATGATAAGTCTCTGTGTAGTTATTTGTGAGCTGGTGGCTCAAAGGAAAGTCCTATTATACCTGCCTGTCTTTCTGTCTCTGTGTGTGTGTCCTCTCTCTCTGTTCGTCTGTCTGTCTGTCCCCTCATCTGCTTCTCTGTATCTCTTTCTCTCTCCCTCACCTCATTCATCTGTCCCCCATCTGTCTCTCTCCCTCTGTTGGTCTGCCTTCTCTGTCTTTGTCTGTCTGTCTGTTTGTCTGTCTGTCTGTCTTTCTCATACACACAGCTCAGCAGACCCCAGGAAGACAAGGGATATAGTAGGCCTCTTTTTCTCAAAGTGTCTAACAACAATTGCTCTGAGCACACTCTCCTCCTCCCACAGGACGTTTGTCAGGTGAGGCCTCCTGCCTTCCTTGAGCATAGTTCAGCTGAGAAACCTTCCAAGAATGCTACTGTGGGCCCCAGTTTACACAGGAGGCAGGCAGTGCATGGCATCAAGTGCCAGGTTAGGCTCATGGAGCCTTTGGTGTAGCTAACGACATCAGCTCAGATGTTTCCAGGGAACTACAGCATTTCTTTCTTTTGAAACCGATTTGATTCAGAAACAGGTAGATTAGCCAGACCTCTGGGTGTGTCTATAAGGACATTTCTAGAGACAGATCATGCAAACACTGATGAGATGAGCTAACCACCGAGTCCGCAGATGGAGTAAGATTCTGAGAAGACTACAGGAGGTGGCAGAAGTGTGGGCAGCAGGCCTGCCTGGAGGAAGGAGGTCTATGTGCGGTGGCAGGGTGGGCTGTTGGGAGGTGGATAGTTCTCTGTTCTATCTCCTCACCCTGGACTGTTCCCTGTATCCTGGCTATGATCCTGTTGGCCCGCACTTCTACAACACCCCCACATCACTGGCCCCTTCAGCTGAGCTCCTGGTGGTGGTAACAAGCCTGGTCTCCAGCTGCCTCCTGACGCTGCCCTTGCCCATCTCCATCTCTCCACTGGAACCTCTCCAGTCACCACCACTAGTGATGCCGTTGTTTCTACAGTGATGCTGGACCTCTTTGCCCATGTCCTATCAGTAGTCCCCAAAATTATCCCCCCGCCCATTCCCGAAACCCTCCTTCCAGGCTCCTGGCATTGCGCCCACCACGGCTTTCTTCTGGCCAGGTCTCACTGACTCCTCCTTTACATGCATCTACCCAGGGGTTCCTGTGCCTCCTGTACACATGGTCCCCTTCTCTCTACCTTGTCAGCCTGGGCTCCACCCCTTCCTCCTGCATTCAACTCCCTGGTTGAGGGTTGGCTCCTCTTCTGGCCCCATCTTTGGTATGCATTTAGTCCACAAGTTCTTTACCTACCATCCGACCTCCTTCCCCATCCTTCACTGACCTCGCCCTGACCATCCTTTAATACTGCATTGGGTGTGTACTGTCCCCTTAAGGTCACTCTCTAGCTCCCTCAATGCTTGGCTTAAATCTGTTAGAGCATCTAGTAGGAAAAACAAACTCCAACTTTGCATCAATCAATCAATCAATCAATCAATCATCCCCAGCCCCTGACTTCTCGGCCACTTATTTTAGCCTTCCTAGCTGAGAAGGCCACCAGTACTGGAGTAGCAGTTCCAAGGAGGGTTTTTAGTCACTCTCAACTCCAAAATCTCCCAGATCTCTCAGAAGGTGGGTGCTCCAACACTCCCGTGCATTGACTGGGTAATGAGCAGATTACAGTCTCAATACTAGCGGCTTTAGACCATCAAGGACACTAACAGCAACTACCTCCTGCCCTCAGTGCCTCATGGAATGGGGCAGAGGACCCCTGCTTCCTAACAGTTTCCCAGACTGACTCCTGGTCTGGGCTTCATTCTGGCCTCCCGAAAAGCTAGAAGACTAGATTTTTCTCCCCACTGGGCAGTGAACCAGGTGGTTGCATTTGGTTTTTCTCTAAGGCAAGGGTCCCAAGTAGCTCAATCATGTACTTGAGTACCCAGGTTTGGAGAGAGACAGCTACAAGAAGCTCCTGGTACTCTGACCCTGGGCAGAAGAGAAGGTCCTTCCTTGCCTCCTCGAATGGGTAGCACCTGCCCAAGTCACCCTTGTCTTCCTTGACATTCCAGCTTTCCTGAGGCAGCAGGCTAATACCATTTGGCAGATAGGAAAACTGAGCCTCTGATATTGGAGGCTTGGCCCAATATCAAATGAGCAGCTAGAACCAAATCTGGAAGCAACTCTTAGAAGAATCTTTTAGGGATGTATTGGTTGGGCAAAGATGTGTATGATAACAGACTGCTAAAGACATCACAGCCTGCAGCCTTCCAAGTAAGATCACCTCCCCTTGCAGGCAAGGCCAAGCTGAGACAGACTGACCCAGGAGCTGAGACCACCCTGACACTGTTCTCTGAACGCCTCGTGCATCTAAGAGCACAGGCATATAGATTCCCGCAGAGCACTACAGAGGACTCATGTGTAGACTAACTAGTCACCAGTCACAGTTCTCTAAAGGCATGCATTATGGGTAACTATGATCTCCAGATCTGCTCTAGGATGCAAGCTTGTGGAGGACATGAAATCATACTCAGCACATGGTAGGGTGGCTAATGAATGTATGTTAAGAGACAGGTAGACTGGTTGTGTCCCAGAGGTAGGTTCGAGGGTCAAGGGTACTCAGCTGAGGTAAAGGCTTCCTGGCTGGATCTTAAAACCTCTGGTCCAGGATTCTGGATGCTGTGCCAGGTGGGACCATCATACCCCAGCAGTGGAGGGAGAAATGGTAGGACACTGTCAGTGTGAGTTTGTCAAGCCCTTGGACCCGGGCCAGCATTCACCTGGGAGACGTGGGACTGAGTCCTCTGGCTCTCGACATCACCTTCTGGCTTGTCCGTCAGCAGCCCTTGCACCTGGTACTCCAGCACATAGCTGTCAATGAAGCGCTCCAGTTCCTCGATCTCCTGGGAGCGGCTGCTTCCCGCCTCGGAGGAGGCCGATGCTGCTGAAGAGTTCTCCATCCCTCCAGCTCAGGGGCTTGGGGTGGCTGCTGGGGAAGAGAACAAACAGCCCCTGTGAGACGTTGCTGGAGGTCAGGACAATGCCCCACTTGAGAAATTCTCTCTACTCTTAGAAGCAATTTGGTCTCCCAGTTGCCAGAAAAGTTGGCGGGATATTATTGGCTTATCTTTAGCATCAAGCATATGCTGAGTTCCCACTATGAAGGGAAAGAAACTGAGGCCGTAAGAGGAGGCAAGAACTTGACACGAGTCCACAGAATGGAGTGTAGGCTCGGCCAGCTATGGCAGCCCGTGGCCCCTCTACTGGGCTTTCCCAGGCACACGAGGCTCGTGGACATGGAAAACGGACATTGAGGGTGGAACAAGACGCCGCTACGGGACATGGCAATGATCCACCCTGGCTCACTGAGGCAAGGACAGGAATTGTGATTCATTTTGGATCCCACAATATTTTGCTGCTACCCAGGGTGGGAAAAGGACTGTTCCATGGGCCCCTCTTGGACACTTGTAATATCCACATTATCTTGTTGGTTCCTTCCTAGTCCAGGTGCTGTTGTCCAATCTGCTCCAGGTACAGTTGATAGCACTTAACATCAGGTGCCACGTGCTCAGGGCTGTTGAGACAGGAGACAGCTGCAGGACCCACCTGGCCCCTGACCCCTGTGACCTGGCAGTCTAAGGTTCTAGCACTTCACAGGGACACTCTGACAGGAAGGAAGCTCCGCCTTTTGATCTTAGATGACAATTCCAAGGCAGCAGCTTGTGACCCTTGGTGGGCCTGAGCAGACTGAGCCTCTGCTGTTTACCAGGGACCAGACCTCCAGTACTGCTCTGTCTCTCCTCCGGGACATGGTTTACAGAGACACCATCCTTCGGTCTTCTACCAAAGTCATTCCTGGGGAACCGACCCTCAAAGCAACAAAACCCCAATCAGATGCCAGGCAGGTCCTTCTCCCTGCTGTCAGGCTGCAATCTCCTATGCCCTGTCCAACTATTTTTTTCCATTGTGTTTAAAATAAACACGGACATTCTTTCAAGTATGTTCTCAATAGCTTTAAGTGTGGTCACGATGTTATGTAACCATGACTACTACCCCATCTCCACTTCCATAACTTTTTCATTATCCCACACAGAAGCCCTTTACCCAATCCACATTAGCTCTTCATTCCCTTGGCCTAGGCCATGAAAACCCTACCTTCTTTCTGACTCTATGACTTGCTTAGTCTGGGTACTGTGTTTAAGTGGAGTCATGCCATTTTTTTTTGAGTGGTTTATTTCACAGTGCATTCAAGGTTCATCCATGCTGTCATACAGCAGCAGAGCCTCATGCACTTTTATGGCTGACGAGATATTGCATTACAATAATATGTCATGTGTATTTACTCTGGCCAACCACTCATCCATTCACTGGCATGTGGGCTGTTTTCGCATCTGGCTGTGGAGAATCTGCTATGAACACGGGTGTGCAAATATCTGTTTGCTCTGCTGTGTTCAATTCTTGGGGGGCATGTACCTGCAGGTTCCCCCACATCTACAAGACAAGAAGGGTGCCGCTTCCACAATAAATGCTACTTTCACTGCTTTTCCCCCTAATTTGACTTCTTTTTTTTTAAGATTTATTTATTTGTTATGAATACAACATCCTGCCTCCATGTATGTCTGCACATACCAGAAGAGGGTGCCAGATCTCATTACAGATGGTTGTGAGCCACCATGTAGTTGCTGGGAATTGAACTCAGGACCTCTGGAAGAACAGTCAGTGCTCTTAACCTCTGAGCCATCTCTCCAGCCCCTAATTTGACTTCAAAGTCACAGTGAGAGGAAATGGGAAAACCTCGTGTAGCTGGCTAAACTGGGAGCCAGAGAAGGCTTCTGGTCTTCACAGTGAGAGTGAACAAGGAGGCTGGGACCAGGGCAACCACGGAAAGGAGAGAAGAGCGTGTGCAAGAGAACCAAGGACACCTGACTCAGTCACTCTGAGGGATGCCCATCCCAGGAGCTGCCTCTGCAGTGACTCCCTGGGACACGGCCCTGCTCCTGTTGCCCGCCAGGTGATGAATGGGGAGAGCCACGAGGAGGTGCATTTTGTTGTAAAGGGCACCAAAGGGGAGGGTGTTACCCTGAAGCTGCAGGCAAGGATAGGGCTGCAGCAGACAGAGCATGAGCAGGGCATGGGGGCACATCTATGTCTGTCTGGGAGAAGAGACAGCCCTGGCAGTGTGCTGAGACCCCATTCCAAGTAGGCTATACTCAAGCTGTCTCTACAGCCCCTTAGTACATGACGGCTTATTTTAAGATCAGAATTTAAAGCAACCATTCTCTGATGGAAAGACACCCTCTCTATACTGTTGTCCCTTCCCCCAGACTCTCACAACCCAACCCCCCCTTACTGTTTTGCCCACATATGCCCGGGGCTTCCACAGAAAAGGCAGTGTTTCTGCTGAGATACCTAGCTCTCCGCCTCCCTGTAGCCCAACCTGGCTTTGAGCCCAGAGGCTCACAGTACTCTCCCTCAGGCTATCTCTAGAGGAAAAGGCAATGCTCAATTCACAGGGCACCCTGTGGGTCTAGAAACAATAAGATAGTCTCCATCCTTCATTACCCTTCCAGCCCCACCTGCTCAGTGACAAATGGCATTGGGTGCTGTAAATTTAGCCTATCCTTTTAAGAACAGACAGTCATTAGAGGCGTTTCCCCTCCCCTCCACCCTCAGGGATGAGTTGGGTGACCTGCAAGTCAGGAGGCTTGAATGCTGGAAGAGCTGTCATTCCAGCCCCTGGGAATCCATCATTTTAGGCCCCCAACTTCCTCAAGCTCATTTACTAACCCCTTCAGCATCTAACCCACCCAGCAGAACTGCTGGACCTCATACATGAAGCTGGGAAGATCTCAAAGTCTACTTTCCTGGCTCAGTTTTTGACTTTGGGCAACAACAAAGGACTCAACTACCCTTGTATCCCAAGCAAGCTGCAAGAGAACACAGGGAAGCTGCCAGGGACCCTAGAAGTGAATAGGGGAATTGTTTGATGCTCCCAGGCACAGAAGCCAGTGCTCTCCACTTTGTGCTTGATCCCAGATATCAATGCTGCATCAGGGCAACATCTGAGCTTTGAGGGCAGAAAGCCCAACATGGGCTCACTGTTTTATTTTTGTTAATGCCAATCATCACATCTACCCAAGACTTCATCCCAGCTTTCCCCACATCAATTCCTGTGAGGCCTGGTACCACACAGCACCATACCCCTGGGGCCCCTGCCAGTAGTCTGTTCCTGGTGACCTTGTCATACATGTGCTTGCTGTTGTCCATTAGATGCTAGTTCCCTAGATCCTCTACCCATAGGGCCAGCTAGAACAGCTTTACCCAGAACACACAGTTGGGATGGCAGGTCTCCTTTATGACTTGCCAGGCAGACCTGGGTCAGGGATATATATAGAGCCTATGGAAGAGAAAGGCTGGACTGTCTGGGAGGGAAGATGCCCACAGTTGTCCAGAAGAAGCCATGGGAACCTTTTCCCTGCAGGCCCCATCTCATCTGGCCTGTGCTCCAACCCCTCACAGATGACTCTGTAGAAAATACTAGTTCCCTGGCAATCAATTCTTCCTCCTTATTGTCTGGTTGCTACAGTCATTGCTGGCCCAGTGACTTGACATATTTATGTGCGCCAGAGAAACACAGGAAGGTTCAGTGGAGGCCTGAAACTTCAGGCTCCCGATCCCCGCAGAGTGGGAAAATTCAGAAACTTGCAGCAGTGGAGGTGTGACTTGGAAATCAGAGATACTTATTGCAGCAGGAGGTAGAACATCCTTCATCCTCTGAATGGGGATGCAACACCCCCCACACTTTACCAACTCTCACTCTAACACTGGATAGGGCATTATTCAGAATTCTGGTCTGTCAAAAAAGCAATGTCCTGCTCCATGACCACAGCATTAAAGAATGTGTGAATTAGAGCTAGACAGATTACACCAGCATTTTCCTGTACCATGCATTCCAAGTGGTATTTCTTCTCCTAGCTCTTTTGCTTTACTTGCCCATGATGATGTAGTTCCTTTGTAGGGTGGGCAGGACCAAAAGAAATGAAGCCCAGCAGACAGGTGTGGTAAGCCCCAAAACTTAATGGGTACAGAGTCCCCAGCATCTTGTTAAGATGCAGATCCTGACTAGGTAGATTGGAGCTGGATCCCAAATGCTGAGGTTATTTTCCCTTGAAACAGTCTCGATACATATGCCTGGCTGATCTTAAACTCCTGATCCTCTTGCTTCTGCCTTCAAAATGTGGGATTATGGGCATGCACCAGCATGTCTTGTGACAGTCTACATTTCTAGCCAGCTCTCAGTCTAGCCAAGATCAGAGAATCTCTCCCATCACTACCATCCTTATTCAGACACCCACTCTGCCATAGTGAAATAGTTGGAGGCTCCATTCTGACCTTCTGGCTAAATAGTCAGTACCCGACAAGATGTGAGGTCTCCTCTTATGGTCCATGCAGTGCTCAGGGAAAGTTAGCACACAGTAGGACCTCAACGAGCTGAGGTGACTATCTGCTGGATGATCCTGGGGACTGTTTCCACACTACTGTTCCTAAAATCCAGGCTTCATAGCTTCAGTGGTACTCTGAGAATACAGCCTAATCCTGTGCAGATGAAGGTATTGAGACCTTCAGGCAAAACAACTTTCTGGAGGATGCTCAGATACCTGTAGCTACAGCCAGCCTAGACACAGGCCACTCAACAATTCACCCAGCTGAGTCAGCGTCCCACCCCTGGTGACTGACAGCCTTTGTGAGCCCCCCCCCCCAGGGTAGATCTCACTGTCATTCAACCTAAGTGGGAATGACAGGATGGGACTACTCAGTAGGAGACCACTCTAAATTATCCTGTAGCCCTACTCTGTGAGCCAACTCTGGACAGGTCCCTTTTGCTTACTGCTCTGTCCTGAGGGCAGGCTGACTGGGAGCAGGGCTGGTCCCTGTGACAAGGCAAAGCACAAGCAGCAGAAGGCAGGAACTGAGGATTTTCAGGAGGGC